AAATCGTGTCAACATAAAGCGACTATGGCCCACCATTGCTAGCAGCAATCTTAAAATTTATCCGTGTAGTCGTCGCACCCTTGCACCAACCGAAAGCATTGCTGCAAGCCCCTCCGCCGTCAACTTTGAGTCTCTGTTGAGCCTGAAGAACTGCTCTATGAGGTCGATATCCAGCCACTGAGCACATACACAAGCACAGGAAGTAATACTCGGTTCCAAGTACAAGCGAAGAACCCGGGGCGGAAAGCCCTGAATGCCAAACGACCTGCGTCGGGCGACGGCGACTGACTGCGTAGTACACAGATTGCGCTCCTTCGACGCCTGCATCGCTGCGGCGGGTGGTCGTAGCTAGTCGTAGCAGATCGTGTCACCTCTGTTGCTCGTACCGGAACACTAGAGCCGCGTAATATTCTTTCTGCGGAAGTTTATAAGCCTACGTCCGCGGCCAACGCATTTACACAAAGCGAACGCCCAGCGAACCTATCCCCCTCGTTCTCTTTCGGCGGCCGGCCGCCAGGGCGGTGACACCGTCGTTGAAACTCCTCAATTATGCAGCTACTCAAATCTGGGTTACCAGAATGGTTTATTAGCACACAACAACACAAAAACGGGGAAAAATATATCGCAAGGCTATTTTATGCACTCCGACTATAACGAGCAAAATATTGTCACGAATGATAAATGATGAGGCGGCCAATAACTGAAGAAACTAAACGTTTAATGGGGCGAAGTTGTTCCCAAAACAAAAGAGAGAAAGGCTAGCGTCGCAGGCGTCGATGTCGACGAAACAGCAGGATCGACCGCGGGCGCGAGACTGACTCCGGACCGCCACTCGGAGCACCTTTTGTACGCGCGTGGGTTTCTGGAACATTCGGCGTAGAAAGTTCGGCGCGTAGAACATTCGTAACTCAATCAGACGACAAGGTTCTCGAACTTACCAGAGTGTCAAATTGAAGAAATAAATAAAAGAGAAGTCCGCTTTCTGGTATCGAACCCGGAGCCTCCGCGGGAGAGCCAAGCGCGGTAACCATTCGGCCACGTTGGGCAACGCACGTGGCAATATCACTGATAGATGTTACAAAACATTTCTGGGACAGCAAGAAAGAGGTCGCTTTAGCTATTGGGGAGGAGATTAGACCGTGGCGCCCTAAGCGGTTAAGACGGATGGGGACAACAAATACAATGGCTCAGCCCTCGGCTGACTTAGCCGAACGCGGCGTCAGCGTTCGGCTGGAGTACGTGTTCTCCGGTGAGGGGGAGGAGGGGCTCTGGTGTTACCACTCCGGCCTGCGTGAACAATGGAGCATGCATCCTGCCCAGCTCAGCAAAAAAGCCCAAGTGGTCAAGTTCGTATCCTCTGACGACTGCTTTCAGGGGAGATCCGGCACTTAGCGTCACTTCACTAACTGTTGGTATTTTTTTCACTACACTATGCCCCGCGCTCTATTAAAAAAAAGATGAGATGAACATGCCCCCAAGGCCTGTGGGTATGTGCATAGGCCTTGTGTTGGGTAAAAACCAAGGTGTGGGGGTGACAGACGGGTCAGAGCGCTTCGCCAGTAGTGACATCGCTGAATATCACATCCTGCGGCGCACTACATGAAGGCACCCTACGGCGCACCTTAGACGCATCGTTTTACTAAAATCCATATTCCCTATAGACCATTCCATTTAGCGCTCTCTGGGCGACACCATTTTGTTCGACAGCGGCGCCCCCTCCATACATCCGGGAAATTCAGCTGGTTCGGCGGGGTAAAACGAGAGAGAGGTCACGCGCCCGACTCCGCTACCAGACGACAAACCGGGAGGTTGCCGTTCTCCATCTTTGGACTGTATCGGCGGGCTCTACCGAACATCGAACTCTCGCTAGTAGCTGCCGTTGTGAAATGGTTCGCGTTCTTAGAATAGTTGTGGCTACTCAAAATCAGCCTATAGCTCTCTGTTGTTCTATTTTGCTAAAGGATCAACTAGCATATCTTTTTTCCATTACTTAAATAGCAGTTGAGTCAGCCGGCAGTACTACCCTCAACTACTGCTTGTATTGCGGCAGGAGAGCACGTTTTATTTATTATTTCAGACTTCCACTCATGGTCGCTAAAGGCCAACACCAGTACGAACTTTTGAATAGTAAAAAAGGTACAGCAACCGGATTTTCTTTTCGCCAAAGAGACCGGCCAATCTGGCACAGTTTTCCCTATTTTTGTTTTTTATTTGCACGCAGGTAACAGCGCAATTAAACCCTGTGAGCCTTTTTTATCTAGCATAGTATTACACGATAATTGGCATACCAAAATCTGCGCATCTGCGCTTGAAAGTTCCAAAATAACGCGATTTTAAACAGAGTTTGCACGCCAGCCGGACGCTAGCTACAGCCCACTCGGCGGAGCGGACGACGTGCGGGGTGAGAGGGGGAGTGCATTTTTTTTCTCTTTTACCCTCTCTGCTATGACCCTAATGGAACGGTCTATACGGAGAGTTCACTATAAACGAATTTGGGACACGGATATGAGTGAATGGATAACAAAGAGAACCCACATAATAGCCACGGCAGTGCTCGCACCTTCTTCAAGTAGGTTGCGTTCAGAAAGCAGTCAGCCTTGGTGGAGCTTTGTTGGGATTTTGAGAGGTGGTCCAGCTCGCAGTTCGTTTCCTGTACTGTTCTCTGCTTATCAATGTTCCCTTGCAGACAGTGTTCACGAGAGCAATAAGTGCCGGACTGACAAAAAAAACAAAACAACCTCGACGTTTTGCTTTAGCGGGGTCAAATACACAAAAAGCAAAACAGAAATGTTTACTTTTTTGTGTGTGTCCACTTGTCATTTTCTTCTATTTGTTATTTCTTGACACTGAAGTCTGCATTGTTCTCGTAGGTCGTTTCCCGGTCTGCTTGCGCCTCCGGGTGGAATCTTTACTTCCGTAAATTCACACCTTTGATTTGAGGATTTTCTTGGGGGGTCGATAGCAACAAAAGGCGCCTTTGAGAAGGTGAGGGGGGAACCTTAATTGTACGAACTTTGGGCTGAAATATGAGTCACAGTTTCACGAGCTCAGTTAAAGCCACCGTAGCTAATCGGAGCTAGCAACAGGATTCGGTTGCTCGAAAGAATGTACACGTTAGCTCGTGCCACGCCCACGCCACTTCATACCGAAAAACTCGGAAAATGGCGGAATGTCAAAAATGTATTTAAGATAATGAGTACAAGATACTCGGAATTGTAATTAAAATAGAGTAATAAATACTCTCCATGAAAGGTATTTGTAAGATACCAATATACTCCAAAAAGTATTTAAGATACAGTATCTTGAGTAGAGTATTTGAGATAGGCACAAGTCTGGACTCAACTCGCCAAACACCTGCTTTCACAGGTGCCTTCTGCGGGGGTGTCGACAAGATAGTCTCCGCAGCGACGTGACGTGAGGAGTGGCTGTCGCTGGGTACGCGATGTAGTCGTGACACCGAAAGCTGAGTGGCGCGCGGCTTTTCCATCGGTTGCGTGACATCGCAAGATGCACCTGCCGCTTCGCGCTTGTCGTTTCCGCGAGCACCCAGGCATTTGACCCGCTGCTATGGCAACGCAGGCAAAGGGATCGAGTACTCTCGCCCATGCTCAGCGCTGATTGAAGCTGTGCGCACGCTGTCCTCCTCTCCTCGGAAATGCTTGGCAGGCGGCATTCCAAGCGGACCATGACTTCTTGAACGACGACAGATGTGCATCGAATCATGCTTGAACACGTGTCGCCATCCACATGTGCAATCAAGAAACTGTAGCCTGCCGTCACTCAACGGGTAACGCGATGCTTATAGCGGTTATTGTTTTAGCAGTATACATTTAACCCACGCTTATCAATGGGAAATCTAACCCAATTTTTATATCAAGGTGTACTTCGGTATCTAATGTGACCGTATTTATAAAGGTACACATATTAAAAAGAAGTCCTTCAATTTGAACTTCTTTAAAAGTATACACAAAGTTTCTAGCTAAGTTTTTGCTTTTTCTAACTTTAATATTCCACAGACCTTGCATGTAAGCTATTATGGAAGTTCAAACACTGCAGCTCGAGAAAATAAATGATCTCGCTTTGAAAGTGAAGTTTACTAAAAAGTAAAAAATAAACCACCTGCTTCGATCGGATAAGGACAACTCGAGAACAAGAAATTGTAGTTCCACAAAAACTTTCCGATTTGACATCAGCCATATAATCGTTCATTGTGCGCAAAGGAAGTTGTTACCTCTCAAGGAAAATAAGAAACGCGCGGCATGGCTGGTGGGGCCTCATACTTAACTTCTGGAAAGCTTGTTTTTGTTAAGTCAAAGCACGGTGGAGGGCCCTTGGGTCACCCTCCTAAGCACTCTCTCGCAACAGGAGCACCTGACGCTTATCGTGGACAAGACTTAAACCACGTGGGGAGCGGTAATCATGCTCGGATTATGTATATACATTAGTGTGCGAGGCTAAATGCGACGTGTTGACTTCACATAAATCTTTAAATTCGTTGGTAAAAAAGCAGACGGAAAAAGCTATATTGGAATGTTTTGAGACGCGCTGTGACGTGTGACACGAAACCCAATTCTCATGGAAATACGAAGGTCACAAATGTTTTGGCAGATTGAGTACAATAGAAATACAGACTATTTAATGGCATTCCATTCTCATACATCACTTATTTACGTTGGGTGTAACGGCGGTGTAGACGATTTATTATCACTTTTTGAGAGATAATTTATTTCAACAATGCTACAACGTAGCACATGCGTAGTGTTTGTCTGCCATTTTTCGAAATGTGAGAAGGATGTTGTCAGGTTTAATGACGTCTAATAAATGTTAGTGCCATTCATACACAGGATGCAAATGCTCTCCATTTGCCTTATCTCTTTTCGCGAGCATTTATAATGCAAAACAATTTATGGCTATTTTAATTTCCTTAAAACATATCTAACACGAATTAATTTAAAACAAAACATCAACGCACACAAGGCACGTTGTTTCTTGCGAAGAGGTTGAAGGTGCATCATGGAATATCGGTGTCTTCCCACAAGCGCATGAGGTCGCTGCCACGTGTCTTTAACTCGATGCGCTCCTTGAGGCGCTTGATCTGGTCAGCCGAGAAATGGTTCCTCCAGTCGCCAACGACTCCCTTTCGCACAAATTCGCCGCTCATCGGACTCTCCAGCACGTCCTGGCCGGTGGCTTCTTTGAGGAGCCTCGCCCACTGCGGTCTTCGTTCTTCCGGGACGGCTTCGATTTCCTCGTACAATTTTTTAAAAGAACCATTCACGTCTTCCTTCATGGTCTTGACGCTTGTCCTTTCCAAAATTTTAGCCATAGCCTCGTGATCATGTCTAAGTGTTTGACCGTATTCCTCTCCAAGGAAATCGGCAATCTTGAGCACCCAGGTCGCGGTGTCCCTCTTGAGGTCTTCGTAGGTCAAAAAAAGCACGTTGGGATCATTCCGGTGCTCATACCAGGATAGCACGTGGTCGAAGTAGTCGCCAAAGTCTACCTTGCCCTCGATGAACATCTCAAAGAACTGGTCGAACGTGCCGTCTTGAAACTCGTACTCGGGCATGGCCTTGGTGTGGTAGAAGAATGACACGCAGCAGTCATACGGGTTCCTGCAGATGTAGATGTATTTGGCGTCCATCGAATAAGGCTGGAAGCGGAAGGGCATGTGGGTCTTGATGGAGCCCGGTCTCGCCATGTCTCTGACCGAGTCCGCTCCTTGGAATTCCAGGAAGGGCATCTCTCGGCAACGGCTCAAAATATCCTTCGGTGGCGAACGGCCGTTGAAGATGTGGTAGACGATGTGTTCCATCCAGGTTGTGCCACATTTCGGGTAGCTGACGACGAATACGTCTCCGGGCTGAGGCTTGTAGTGCAGGGCTGAACGCACACACTCGTCTGGAAAGGCGACGTGAAGGAAGAAGCCTTCAACTTCCTTGTACATGCTTTCTGCCATCGTCACCTGGGGAAATAAAAAAGGAAAAGAAATCGCGATTGATAGACATGGTTCTAAACCGGGAAAGACATGAATATCACTACCGGTTTCGCATCGCCGGCCTTGCGTCTGCTGCACGAGTGGTAACTTTAATGCCCCTTCGCGCTTCTCACGTGCTTCAAGTCGTTCTAAAATTGACTGATTCAGGGGTGTTTGATGACACTCAGCAAGTTTTTAATGGGAAGCATTCGTTTATTGTCACTAATCAAAACTTATTAAATACATATTCCCGCTAACTATTTTGATAATTGGTATGTCTTAGTTAAATCCCTGACATACGCCGTGGCTGACAGCATGTTCGTGAAACGAGTTCCTTTTCTTCTAAAACACCATAAGCGTGTGCAGGGTCCCGCATGAGAGAGGACGTATTCTCAGCGCCCACCCCCCTTTTTCCTTCCAATTCGGTTCTCTCCCAAATTACCTCTTCATTACATTAACGCAGTGTTCCTAAAAGGGATGTTGAACCAAACATTTTAGTGTGTATAATAAGTGGCTCACTATCTTTTCATGAGTCAGCAGCCGCCGGTGTGCGCGAGTACATTCAATGAAATAGAAGTCATCATATCCCCCATTCAAGCTTATTAAGCTGCAATGTTTGATTCAGCATCCCTTTAACCACTAATGTTTCGGGGACCCCTACTGGATCAGCGGAAGAGGGGGGAGGGGGGATAATAGATGATCACGATGACAAAAGGGTAAATAAATAAAACTAAATGCATGCAAGCAAATTTCGAAGCTCCTTAAACATAGACTAATCAACCCTACTACCTCGGTGCACATGTAAAAAAGATAGCATGAATTAAAAAAAAATATGTACGTATGTATATATATATATATATATATACAGGGTGTTTTTTTTAAGCTTAACGGATTTGTTTAAAAAAAGCCGTGAGAGTTACACTTATGCCGCTTGTGGAGGTTAAGTTATGCGGCCAGGGGGACATAATATAGGGGGCTAACCGTAACAATCAGTCGCCTAATTAACTAAAACTTGTTAATTAACTTTTTAATTAATGAAAATAGACATATAGTTCCAATTACAAACTTGCTCAGCGTCATTGAAAACCACTAAATCGATCATTTTCAGAAAGACTTTGAGCGCGTGAGAAGCGTAGTAGTGTACTAAAATTAACTTTCGTGGAGCAGGTACAAAGGTAGCGGTTGCGATAAGGCGCCCGCGCGATTTTTCCGTCTCTTATCTAGCCCCAGCCTTGTACCTGCTCCACGAGTAGTAACTTTAGTACAATACTACGCTTTTCAAGCGCCGAAAGTCTTTCTGAAAATGACTGATTTAGTGGTTTTCGATGACGCTGAGAAAGTTTCTAATTAGAACCATATGTCTATTTTCATTAATTAAAAAGTTAATTAACGAGTTTTAATTAATTAGATGACTGATCGTTACGATTAGCCCCTTGTAATATGTCCCCCTGGCTGTATAACTCACCTCCACAAGCGGCATAAGTGTAACTTTTATGGCTTTTTTAATACAAATCTGTTAAGCTTAAAAAAAAAAAAAAACACCCGGTATATATATATATATATTGTTACGTTTTTAATTTACAAGAGGACGTCCATAACCAAATCAGACCCAATTCGAAGTGTGTCACGCGCCGTCTGCACGCGCTTCGTCTTTGTCTTCGGTGGGGTCTGGCACGCGCCTCAGCAGCACCGCTACAATATATTTCTCGGTTTAGTGTTTTCAGGACACTAAGAAACCCTACGAGGACCCAAGAGGGTCTGCGGACTCCAATTTGCGAATCATTGTGCTAAAGAATCGGAGGTCAATCCTCAAGACACGGACGATATATTATGAAAAAGAACTTCGGAGAATAACTTGTTGCGGCCATAGCTGATGTCCATCGTTTCCCGGCTCCAAACGGATAGATGTCCCCTGTTGAAACCGAGCGGTTGTTCCCCAGGTTAAAAGGTAGACAGGGGCCAGGCCAGGTCACACCAGGAAATCAGGAGGACTTCGGGCAAAGAACTCGGGCTTTACATATTTAAACTCGTACGCAGTCGGAGAACACACTCCGAGATGATAATAACAGTATTGCAAGGAAGGAGAGACAAGGGAATTGTTTCGTGGCCCGTAACTGGGAAACTCACCTTCACACACTCGGAGCCGCAAACGGCTCCTTTTAAAATGCTCCAAATTCTATCTTTTTTTTTTTAGGGAGGGGCTTTGGGTAGGTATTTCAGCCAGTGATGGCGCAGCTGTAGATGCCATCTATATCTATGGCTCCACCTTTAGCTCCGCTTCCAGGCTCGCACGCGCCCACACACACACGCACAAACACTGGTGGGCACGATGTAGCTTGTAGGACGCCTCCTCGAACCAGCTGTCAGCCGTTGATGGACGGCCGATGACCCCGTGCACCCGGCGACGACCGAAGACGAAGCCAACGGTCCGTCGTCAAGTTTACACACGGCGGTGCTGGGGACAACAAGGTGTACTCGAACTTTGGTGAGTAATTCCTGTCTCCCTCCAAGGTTATCCCCAACAGCATGCGTGTTACTGCTGCCTTTGGAAAAAGGGGCCCCCGTTTCCCCGGCACACTTGAGGTGGGGCAAGAGAGCGCCGGTGTTGCTGGCCCCGGTTAATCCTTGGGGCACCCTTGCCGGTGGTGCCCGATGCTCCTTCCCAGACTTGGACGTAGTTCAACTACTCTACTCAAACTACTGTAGTTTAACTACCTTTTCGAGTAACTTGGTAACTTTCAATTACAACTTGATTTGGGTAATTAGTAGTTTAACTTAACTACTTTTTTCAGGTAACTTCTACTCAAATTACTAACTACTTTCGAAATTATATAGTCCTAATTTTGCCCATCACGAAAGTTTGAGCGCAGAAATGAATAAGACGCCGGCAGATGAAATGGCATTCCCGAAGAATGGGCCCCCTTGTCCGGGGAGGTGTCCTTGGGCCAAGGTGGCGACGAGCAGCCAAAACATAACACCGGCACACATGAACGCAGGAAGAGATGCTTAACAAACCTTGGTCAGGTATTGACCTAATCCGGTAATGCACGCAGGCGCCGCGTTTCCAGCTGCAATCGTAAAAGACGGGGACCCGAGAGTTGTTGTTTTCGTGTTGTCTGTCTTTAGTGAGTTCTGACTCAAGCGGTAGGTTCCACGGGAGGGCCACTGGAATGACCTCGCAGCTGGGCGCCTGTTCCCATGGTCGCCTTGTCGTCAGCGCATACGCCTTTGCAAAGCCGGACTCCCCCGCTCACAAGTCCTGGTACGGATAATCTGTTCATGGTAGCGCGTTCCCGCTTCCAGCTGCAACTGTATACGAGCGACGATGCTTGTTCACGTAATCCTTTGCGTCCTTCCGACCATCCATGACTGGGATACCTCTTTGTTAAAAACGATTTACTTAATTGTCAGGCGTGTCAGGCACGTCAGAATATTGTAGTCGGCGGCGAATATTGCGAGTTACCCTTGGGAGATCCTTTTGTTGGACCTGGTGTCAGCGGCGAAGTATACTTCGGTTCCATCTTCTGTTAAACCAAAACAATTTTTTTTTTCTGCAGTAGCGTAGCACTAGCACTACAACGGGACGCGCAGTCGTCCGGATGATCTCATCGTCGTGGCGCGAGACTTGAACCCTTGACGGTCTGGTGCACTTGCTCTGCGTACTCTCAGAACGACGTCGGAATAAAGAGGGGCCAGTCATAACAATCTCAACTTGACGAAGAAAAAAGAAAAAAGGAGGAAAGTTTGTTATAAAAGACCCTCTACCGGAGGCAAACCTCACATGTTTCGTCATGGGCACCTAAGATGCCGACACTCGCTTACCCGACCCTGCACAGCCTGTTTCTCAAATTCAACGCTGCCGTTCCATCCAGCCCGTCGGTGGAACGTCTATTTAGCTTGGCTGGGGACGTCCTTAGAAGGAAAAGGGGAAAACTCTCATATCAAGAACTTTGAAGAACTGCGAGCGAATAAACTATTTTGGCGAAAACGCAAGCCAGAAATAGACTGCATTTATTTTAGGCTCGCAGGGTTTTTCATTGATCAAAACTGTTGTTCATTTTGCTACTACAAAAATATAAAAAAGTAACTTCGAAAGTAACTTCAAAGTAACTCGCTACTTTTTGCAGTAGTTAGTAGTTTACTCAATTACTATTACAAATGCGAAATTTCTACTCTACTCCAATTACTTTTGGCGTCGATACTCAGTAACTTAACTTAACTACCTTTTTTGAGTCCTTCCCCAACATGGCGACAGTGTGAAGGCCGGCAGGCTTTTTCCGCACCCACAGGTCCTAGCTCATGGAATATCACCCAGTAATCCGCTGGCAGCGGCTTCGGATCCTAAATCCTTGAATCAGGAGGCATCCGCCGATTGACCCTGGCCGCGGTCCAGGCGTAGCACCCCCCCTTTTCCGGGTCGCCCATCAGCACTTGCTCAACCTAAAGCGCTGAACTGGCTCGACCTCTTTCCTCGTGGTGGCTACTGTTACCAATGCGCTCGTTTTGTACATGATGTTTCTATCTTTGCTGTTTTGTTTAGCAACCAGACGAGTAAATGGGAAACAGAAAAGTGCATAAAAGGTTGATAAAATTGAATTTATGTTTTTTCGCGCGTCGGCATTGAAGACCGTAGTGCTTCATAAACAAGACTATCAAGTATCGCATGAAAAGTGTACTGAAAAAAGATAGAATATCTTTGCCATTAAAAATTAATTTAAGACTGATTTCAAATATTATTCTAAAGAAGCTGTGCTCTTCAGAAATAAGAATAAAATAGCTCGCCTATACAAGACAAGAAGTTTACAGCTAACAAAATTTATGTGGAGTGTCACATGCTTAGAAATAAAATGAAAAAAAAAAATGGGTGCACCGATTTTCATACAATTTTGTGGAAGCCAAAATTGTGAGGCAATGTAAGGGTTTTTACGCATTGTTGCCACGTCGGTTGCTCTTCGTTTCTTAAAAAAAACGTAGCTCTGCCA